GTAACAAATAAAAAGGGGTCGTGGGAGGGAGATGAGTAAAATTAACTTATTGAAAATGCAAATTATCACATGCAATTTCTTCTTTGTGGTTCTATGCTACATGTATCATAAATTTTTTCCAATATGAAATTTAAGATACTTTTCAGATATTGTTTTTGTGAAATCTAAACTGACCCCTTGCAGTAATAGATGTATTGTCAAGCCTTCAGTCTATTCATCTTGAACTAAGTATTGAGTGCTATCTCATTCTTTACATAAGATTGAGTAATACTTTTGTGGGGAAACAATCAAAATTAAATCACATCCTGCACATTTTATTAAATTTAGTATATATTTGCCATTGTCTGACACTGTTTTAACCCTTGTTATTAGCCATGTTATTTATTTATTTAATTCAATTCAATTCAATTTTCTTTTTGGAGGGGGGGGGACTGAAACATGGTGGTAAATTGTTTTTGTTGGAATTAAGAATAAGTACAAATGTAGCTTTAAATAATATTTGATACCTAATATATAAGCATGCATCTTACTGCATGTTCATGTTTCAAGCCTGGTCATCATGTTTTTGAGTTCAATTACAATAAAGTTATAATGAGTCCTTGTGTCTGTCCACCTTGATTTGAAGTTTATGATTTTTCTGATTGACATTTAAATTGATAAAGTCATTTTGAGTACACAAAAAGCTCAGCAATGGTGAAAAAAGTGAGGAAGTTGAATTGTTTCTCTTAATGGTTTTTATTGCACCGTTTTTATTTACTTTAGTAAAATATATAAATACATATTTAAGACAGAACATGGAAATCAAGATGAATGTCCACAATATCCAATTTCTGGGGGGGGGGGGGGTATGATAAAGAGATTATTTATACGGATCTATAATACTACTCCACACCCTCTGGTCATTCCTTTCACTATCCTTGCGATCGTTCACCCATGTATATGCAGATAAATTTGTATGACAAATCACAAAAATGCTAAGCTCTATTTTCTCTTTATATCTCTTCTCTACTTCTCTACCCAGCTAGAAAAGCAGTCCCCTTTGCAGTCTGCTTGCAATGTGATTTCAATAATAATAAAAGCAATAATAATAAATATTTTCACATCATTATTTAAAAAATAAAAATCTGTTCACTCAAATTTTTTTATAGGTGTGTATATAACTTGAAGGATAAAGCCAAAAACTGCTATTAACCCAAACAATTTTAAAGTCATATTGACAAGCTCTTCATCAAAAAAATTAAAAAAATAAAATAAAATAAAAAAATTCTTTTCAGCCTGATAACTATAGCAGGTTACGGATAAAAAGATTAGCACATTGTGCTTCTCAGTTGCAAAGAAAAACACTTTTTAAATAACTATTGGGTTGTTTATTGCATAGGTTGGCCCAACATTGAAAATGTCAGTTATTTCAGTTTAGTTTGCAGTACATTGTGAAAATGTTTAAGATATTGCAGCCTCCTTTGCAGTCTGCCTGCTCAAGAAGACTGCACACTGGAGCCCCAGACTGCAAAAGAGCAGTCTCCCTGGCAGTCTCTCTGGCAGCCCTGGCTTCTGTTCTAGCTGGGTATTCATGTCTTTCTTTTTTTGTATTTCAAAAATTATTTTGTTTTGTTGCAGTTTATGCATACATGGCTTATAAAAGGAATTGGAGAAGGTTACGTGCAGAGGTAGAATTAATTGCACAACTTAGCGAAGATGAGAGTGATGAACAAAATATGCCTGAAATGCATTTCGGAAATCATGATGTTTCTAAAAATGTTGTTGCTGAATCTGACAGTGACCACAGTTTGACTGATCATTGCCCATCTTTTGCAAGTGAAGTTGATGGAGAGACAACTTCTCATTCTACATCAGAATCTGACAACCTGTCTGCTCAAGATGTTGCCCCTGATATAGTGCAGGATTTATCCAAGTGGGCCACTAAGAATGGGTGTACTCGCTCTGCAATCAATGAACTACTAGCTATACTTAGAAAACAGGGCCTAAGGGTTCCTTGTGATGCGCGCACACTTCTGCAAACTCCTCGATCCATCAATAACATGCAAAAATGTGGCGGTGATTATCTGTATTTAGGAATTAGGAGTGGGATTCTTAAAGTGGTTTCAACTCATCCGGTGTACTTTAAAGATGTAAATGACATCATTTTGACATTCAATGTTGACGGGGTCCCTCTATTTAAGAGCTCAAACACACAGATGTGGCCAATATTGTGCAGTATTAAAGATTTTGAACCATTTGTAGTAGCATTATATNTTTTATAATCATGTAAATAATAACAATATTTTTGCTATTATCCATACACACTTCATTCATGAGGGGCACACCACTTTCACATGCTTTTAAAATGGAATTGACAAACACAGAGGAATAATGCACATATTTTATTTACTGTAACTCTGTCATATGGGACACACACTGAACAAAGTTGATCTAAAGAATGTTCCAGATTGTAGTTTTTTATCAGAACTATTATTTTTTTATTATTATTTTAACACAATAAAGTTCAGTTAAATACAAAATTTAACAAAATGAAGTTCAGTGTAACACAAAGTTCATAATTATAACATTCTTCCTGACATATGTAGACCAATGGTGATATCTGTTCTGTGCTCACTAAGGCATCCACTCTTGGGATTCTGAAAAAAAATCACACAAAGAATCTGTTAACTCTGATAACGAACAATGGATAACCTAAGATCACAAATAGTTTATTGCTTATTCAAACAAAGTACAGTGCATTATGAGTGGCAAACACGCATTACTGAGACACATTTTCTTCACCCATTTTCGGTGCTTCATTGCGTAACGTAAGTGTTGCTAGTAATCCATTATTGCTGTTTTTACAGACGGTTAAATTTTAAACGCACGGAATACAGCGTAGCAGCTTAATTTAAGACAAAACTAAAAAAAAAGTAATTCAATTTCGATGATTGAGTTTTCGAGAACAAGAGAACATGAATACGGTATCACCGCATCACCATGTTCAATATCCCAGATAGCAAAGAGTGGTCGCGCCAACGTCGGCCCGACGACTTTGCCTCCGTCGGGCCAACGTTGGCAGACGACGTCGGTTCGAAGTCGGCGTGTCCGGCGGCCCACCGTCGGCCCACCGGTGGTCTGCCACCCTTTTGCCAACGTCGCACCGACGCTGGGCCGACGTCATTATGGATAAACGGCGGTCGGCCGCTGTCATGCCGACAATTTGCCAACTTCGCGCCAACGTCGGGCCAACGTCGTTATGAGCTATTACTATCGGCGGTTAGCCGCTGTTATTCCGACCTTTTGCCGACGTTGGGCCAATGTCGTTATGAGCTATTACTATCGGCGGTTAGCCGCTGTTATGCCAACGGTGCCACCTTCTTGCCAACTTCGCGCCAACGTCGTTAACCATCGTTTTACCACCGTTATGCAAATAATGTCGTTCTTTAATTAGCCAATGTTATTATGGACTCTCCATGGTCAGCCCGCTATGACTCAATTGGCGAACGTTGGCAATAGGGTAGCAGCGGCGTTTCTTCGTAATAACCCTCTCACTGAAGTGAAAAAGTCCCGTTGGCCTAAAAGATAATAATAATAACAACGTGAATCATGTTTTGTGAAGAAACATCTTTATAAATCTGAGTGAGTTAATAACGATAATTCAATTAGTTATTGAAAATAAATATTATTACTGATGCATCTCTAAGGATCTACTTTACAGATGTCATATATAATCCAAGCTTTCGGTCCCTAGGCCTTCTTCAGAGACATTAAAAAAATGGTGAAGAAAAACTCCTGGGGTATGTGGCGTCGATGATGTGTTAAAGGCACGCGATGCTGCAAAAGCGTCCTAAACGCTAAACGTAACATATAAAAAATCAATATTCATTTAAGAAACTATTGTCCCTTCTGAGTCCATTATTCAAGGTGTCTAGTGTTCTAATACATTTCTGTACGACGATCCGTCTTTGCCTAGTATCGTTTCCTTTTAAGACGGTAACGGTGATGTCTTTAGCTGAGTGTTGTGTTGTCCCACAGGCACGAAGAGGTTTTTGTTGTTTATAGGGCAGCGGTGGTGTCTAATTCTGTCTTTTAATTTCTGCCTCGTTTCCCCGACGTACATTTGATGGCATTGTTAACATCATATCAAATAGATGACGCTCTGTGAGTCGCAAGATTTGCAGCATATCTTTGACTACGACACTACGCTGGAAAGAAGTGACTGTGGCCTTAATTAATTCCCACACTGGACGAAGAGGAATGATGATGATGACTAATATTCATCTGAGGAACTCTGCTGCGGCGCCTGGGCTGCTTCTCTCTCTGTGAAGAGAATAGAAAAAAAAATTTAAAAACTCACACTTAATCTAATAAAACATACAAAATTCACCGTTAATATCATATGTTATTTCACTGATATGCAAAATAAAAAACGGCTAAGAAGACAACTGAAACCAAGCTTTAGGAATCTAGCATGATACTGATCCACGTTTCTCTAACTATTATTTTTTCTATTTGCGATGTGAAATGTTCTAAACTTTATGAGGTCAGGGACAGACAGGTTAGTTTTGTACGCTCGATTTTGGCCGCAACGAATCAACAATCCATTTTTCTCTATCGTATTATTGAACCGTTGGTTTCAGTTGTCTTCTAATGACTTATTTCCTAGTTCGCATCCAATCCACCCGCGCTTATTCGTAATGTTGCATATTGAAATGAAGTTGTTAATGTATACTTTGAAATGTAGAGGAAATAGTGTAATTATTTTCCAGGGAAGTGGTTACTCTGCTAAATATATTACCCTTCTTCTTCTCCAGCCTCCTCCTCCTACCCCCATCCCTGTCACTTACATTATTTTAAGAAGAATAATGTACTAAATTCCAGAAGAGAGTCGCAGGCAAGAAGTAGGCTAATTTAATTTCTTAGTTGTTTACTACTTAATTCATTGATAGGGATGATATAAGTTAAACTACTGCATCTTACCATGGCAATGACACACTGAAGCACTTTAACTATATACACACATACCTTTCAAGTGTATTTTCTTGTGAGGATTGACTGCTCAACACAGGCGACAAATAGGTAGTAATGCATGATGGAAGACTATAAGAGAAATATGAGATACATATTAAGTGTGGCTTTGTAATGTGCACAAAATGCCTTGTCTAATTATGAGCCTAAACCAAAAAAGAAACATTATTATATCATACCCTGTGGGTATTTGACTAAACATCTAGAAAAAAATTCAATTTAAACTTGCCCCCCCCCCCCCCTAAAAGAACCACCGCTGGATATTTTAGGTTAGCCTACTGACCCCTTAATGCTAAACTGAGTTTGGAATGTATGCCATAAGGTTTATCCAGTGTTAAGCCCATGCTGACATTATAAGTTTACATGTTAGTATCATGCAGCCTTGCTATATACACCTATTATATAAGCATTTCAAATTCAACTAGAGAAAATATAAACAATATATACTCCTAGGTACAAAAAAAAGTACTAGAACGTTGCTCATTCACATTTATAAATTGTCTATACATGAAATGTGGTAATTGAAATGTCTTTCAAAGCATAAAAGAATTTGAGCGGGAAAATATTTTTGGCCGCCGGAAACCCAACGTCGCCCCGACGTTGGTTCAAAGGCGGCATGCAGCGCGCCAACTGCCTGCAGCTACGACTAACAAATTATTAACAGATTTGCTTGTTTTCGTTAATTCATCTACAACAAATAAACCTCCACCTATAGTACGAAAAACATAAACACTTTAAAGTAAATACTTACCTAACAATTTGGTGCAAAATACGGAAAATATGAAATAACCGTCAAGTGCACTTGCAACGATCTATGGCCGCTTAGTGTGGGTGACCTCGATTTGAAATTGGCCGCTTAGTGCAAATCGAGCACAGCTGGTGAGCCACCGTTATACCGACGTCGGGCCGACGGCGTGAAGCAGTCGTCGGCCCGACGTCGGGTCACCAGTAGTGGCCCGACGCACAGCTGATGAGCCACCGTTATACCGACGTCGGGCTAGTAGTGGCCCGACGTCGGCCCGACAACGACTGCCGACCGCGACCGTGCCGACCAATGCCGACGTCGGCCCGACCGCTCATTGCTATCTGGGATGTAATCATCAGCAGTGGCTGCTTTAATCTCCTCCAGCTTGTCTGCAGAAGCAGGGAGACTGGTAACTAGGCTGTGTACCATAACTTCAATATCCTCTGGAGCACCACACTTGGACCCGTCCTGAATATACGCTCTAGAAAGCGTATCAGCTACATGCATGAACTTTCTTTTTATGTATCAGACAGAAATGTTGCATCTTTGTAACTGTAACATCATACGTTGCAGTCTTGGAGATGCCTTAACGATAGGCTTCTTCAGAATAATTTCCAGTGGGCGGTGATCAGTGTGAATCTCCACTTCTTTGCCATACACATACTGGTGGAATTTTTCACAGGCAAAACAAATAGCTAGAAGCTCCTTTTCTATTTGAGAATAATTTTGTTCTGCTGAAGTAAGAGCTCTCGAGGCATATGCAACAGGTCTGTTTCGTTGGAGTAAGCATGAACCCAACCCACCTTGAGAGGCATCTGTTTGAATGGTGACTGGCTGTGTCACATCATAAAACTGCAGAACGGGCTGCCTGCTTAGAGCTTCCTTTACTTGCTGCATAGCGTGATCCTGCTCTGGTCCCCAATGCCATTCAATATCCTCTTTTAGCAGCAATCTGAGAGGAGCAGTTAGGCTTGACTCATTGGCTATATATGGTGACAAATATTTCACCATTCCTAAGAAACGCATCATTGAAGCTCTGTCTGTTGGCTGGGGCATGTTAATGATTGCATCGACTTTGGCAGGATCAGGTTTAAGTCCTTCTTGAGATACAATATGACCCATGTAGTTGACTGACTTCACTTTGAATTGGATTTTATCCTTGTTGAACTTGACCTTCTGTTCACGTGCTTGCTGCATGACCTTATGAACTATACTATCATGCTCTGCCTCACTGCTACCTGCAATGATCATGTCGTCTGCTATGACGTGCATCCCTGGAATGTCACCAAACGCTTCCTCATTACGCTTCTGCATCACCTCACTAGCAGAGGATATTCCGAAAGGCATGCGCTTAAATCTCTTTCGGCCCCATGGGGTGTGGAAAGTGCAAAGATATGATGATTCTTCAGATAATTTCACGTGCCAGTAACTATCCTTCATGTCAACAACTGTGAAGATGCATTTACCTGCTAGACGGCTCTGAACATCAGCTGGCATAGGTATCTCATATCTCTCACACTTTATGGCCTGGTTGAGTGGCTTGGGATCGAGACATAGCCTAATGCTACCATTGCGTTTCTCTGTAATCACTAAATTGTTCACCCAGTCAGTTGGTTTGTCAACACTTGCAATGACATCTTTCTTTTCTAGCTGAGAGAGAGCCTCCTTCAACTTGTCATGCTTAGCAAAGGGTATCTTACGAGGAGCTTGCACCACTGGGGGAACACTTGGGTCAACAACAATGCGGTATCATATTCTCTCTTATATTGTCCAAGTCCAGTAAAATTGTCACCATACTCACTCAATAGCTCGTCTTGGGTCAAAGGTACATTTGTAGACTGGACTATGTTCACAGGTACACGTTGTATAAGCCCTAGTGAAGCACATAACTGACGTCCAAGAATGGCTGAATAATCTCCTTCAGTCACATAGAAGGTAGCTGGCTGAGGCATAAGAGAGGGCTTGGTTGAGACTGACAGCTGTGCTTGACCCTGGTTTAATTGTAGCATTTCCAAATGCTGTCAGAACAGCTTTAGTGACACGGAGAGGTGTCTGGCATACTTGCTTATAGGTACCCCATGGCAGCACATTGACATCAGCTCCAGTATCCAACTTAAATGTCACTGGCTTCTTGTTAATATACAGAGTCTCAGAATACTGCGTAGAACAATTGCTGTTTGTGAGACTACCAACGAACAGCCTCTCACCTCATCACTGCCAACATCCTCCGTGTCTAGCTGGTGTATCTTCTTTGATGATAATGGTTTTTTTCTGAAGCCTCCACCCAGACAAACAACGGCAAAATGATTTAACCCCGAACATTTCTTGCACTTCTTACCATAAGCCGGACATTGTTTCGGAAGGTGTGAAGTTCCACAGTACTTGCATTTAGATGTGACTATGGCGGTACGCTGTTTGCTCTTATAGGATTGACTTCAGGTAAACTTGCCGGGTTGTCATGGCGGCCATTTGTATGGAACGCCATTCACGCAAAAAATGCAGACGTCAATTCAACAATCTATCGGCACTATTTAACAGCCAAAACCTACTTTAACTATCTAAACTTAATTCTACTAAATTAGTTTTGGTCATTTTAATCATTCGTCAAAATCTAACAATCAATAAACGATTCAAAAGTCAGTTACCTCAACTCAACAATCAGTTATCGCAACTCAACAATCACTTACTGCAAACGGTCATTCGCGGACTTAACACCAGATGGCGTGCGAGCACTGTCAGCGATCTGAAACGTCCTTGACCTTTTCCATGGTTAATACGTGGTGCCTTGATTTGCAACCATTCAACTTTTGTGTTTTTAATCTCCAAATACTTTTAAAAATCAATAATGCTAATAAAGCCATCGACAAGAACCTATTATATAGTATCTTTTATATTATTTATTATTACATATCACAATAATAAACGAGTCGCCTTTTGAAGTACGCCCGGCTATAACCTCTATTAAAAAATATCAATTTTTAAGAGATTCGTATTGTTTGGTTCCATTGCCGCGCTTTCAAAAATTAGAATAGCTCCCAGCTAGAATGGGAGCCCCGGCTGCCCACAGGAGCCCAGGCTGCCAGAGAGACTGCCAGGGAGACTGTCCTTTTGCAGTCCGGGGCTCCAGTGTGCAGTCTCCTTGAGCAGGCAGACTGCAAAGGGGGCTGCAATAANCATGCACCCCTGGAATGTCACCAAACGCTTCCTCATTACGCTTCTGCATCACTTCACTAGCAGAGGATATTCCAAAAGGCATGCGCTTAAATCTCTTTCGGCCCCATGGAGTGTGGAAAGTGCAAAGATATGATGATTCTTCAGATAGTTTCACGTGCCAGTAACTATCCTTCATGTCAACAACTGTGAAGATGCATTTACCTGCTAGTCGGCTCTGAACATCAGCTGGCGTAGGTATCTCATATCTCTCACGCTTTATGGCCTGGTTGAGTGGCTTGGGATCGAGACATAGCCTAATGCTACCATTGCGTTTCTCTGTAATCACTAAATTGTTCACCCAGTCAGTTGGTTTGTCAACACTTGCAATGACATCTTGCTTTTCTAGCTGAGAGAGAGCCTCCTTCAACTTGTCATGCTTAGCAAAGGGTATCTTACGAGGAGCTTGCACCACTGGGGAAACACTTGGGTCAACAACAATATCATATTCTCTCTTATATTGTCCAAGTCCAGTAAAATTGTCACCATACTCACTCAATAGCTTGTCTTGGGTCAAAGGTACATTTGAAGACTGGACTATGTTCACAGGTACACGTTGTATAAGCCCTAGTGAAGCACATAACTGACGTCCAAGAATGGCTGAATAATCTCCTTCAGTCACATAGAAGGTAGCTGGCTGAGACATAAGAGAGGGCTTGGTTGAGACTGACAGCTGTGCTTGACCCACTGGTTTTATTGTAGCATTTCCAAATGCTGTCAGAACAGCTTTAGTGACACGGAGAGGTGTCTGGCATACTTGCTTATTAACCCATTACAGTGACGTCATATTTGCTCCGTAACACTAGTCCAGCAGCCATACTGGAGGGAAAGAACGACGGGGATTAGTAGCGTAAATATGGGTAAACCAAGTAAAATAAACTAAACTTCATATCGCGATCAAGTACACCAAAAGAAAAAGTGTATATACATGTGAAAACTGCAGCTGAACAAGGGGATCGACCCATATAAACTCAGGACAGTCCAAAGAAGAGAAATCCTGACTTATTCCAACATCGTGGAATTGTCAGAAGCTAGTTCAGTTATCTTGTACTTCATTTTTCTTGTTTACTGGATAATAACAGTTATAGTTTTAGAGAGTTTAATGTGTAATCATAAGTTCAAACTTTCATAGAAGCAACTTTTTACATAAAGGATAGATGTAAGGAGAAATTTGAGCTGACCATTGGGATCAACCCTTTAGGACTCAAAGAAGACAGTAAGCAGGGTTGTCTTATAACAAGAAATATTGCTGTCAGATATGATTTAACTGAACATCATGAAGCTGTCAGAAATTATTTCAGCATTCTTGTACTTCATTTTGGTTCATTAGGCAGTACATGTAACATGACTGTTGTTTGAGAGTTCAATATTTTAATATGAATTAAACCATTCACACTAGCAACATTATTAGCATTTTATTAATAGTCCAGACATTCACAGAAGCAAAGCATTTTTCAAACTTATTAATTTATGATATCCAATGTAGCATAACAACAAGTCAGTTCATGAATTGATCTTCATTTGATTAAAAATATAGGAAAATGCACATTTTGTATGAATAAAAGTAAACATAAAATGCAAAACATTGTTGACATTGTTGCACAATTCAATGACAGATTATCAGGGTCCCTTTCCTTTCGGTTGATAACACTGACATGAAAAATATTTCCATACTTTTAATGATGTAATGCAACATGTACATGAGCATATTAAGTCGAATCAAGTCACCATAATCTGAGAAACCTGTTTGGTATATTTTTATCTATGTCTAGAGAAATGCTTGATTGAAGACTCACAATTGATATGTGCTGTGTGCAATAATTGTGTGTAGGTATGTACATATAAGTCCTTAGATGGTGTTACTAAGCAGTTTGTAATTTCATTTAGGAGAATTCCACAACTGGTGGTCACAATTTAAAAAATGCGCAACCTACAAGAGCTAAATCTTTTCTTGATACAGGACAGCCATCTGTTTCTGCATATCAGACCATCTGTGAGAAGTGCACCATACAAAGTATTATATTTCTTGCAAACTTTTCCATTTAGCCTTTAAAAATATGAGAAAGAAAAAGTGTTTTCATTTCTTCTTGTGCTTCTGCTCACAATTCTAAATAAATAGAATACCTATCCTTGTTGTATGCAAGCTATCAGGATAACAACTTTAAAATGACAAATGAACAATTAAATAAACAAACAAATCCAATTAAATAACTCCTGTCATGCACTGAATTTCACTCTCCTGATGTTCAGATCCTGTCTCCTCAGCAGGTCACAAAGATATAAGAATATTCTTTGCTGCTTCTACCTTGTGTGCCATCTAGCTGCCTTTTGTACCCGTCACCTGTTTTTTTTTTTTTTTTTTTTTTAATTTTTTTAATTTTTTATTTTTTTTGATAATCAAAATTTACTTGCACCCAATCATTCAGTGTGGCTTGGTGGGAAAATGCCAGATCAATTTCCTAAATGTAAATTAACAAAAAAAGGTAACAATAGTTATTTTTATTCATATTGTAACTTGAAATACTAGTATAGTAGGAAAACACAGAATTCAACATTTTTCAAATTCATTTCATTAAGTTATATGTCAATTAAATGGTACCTGAGCTAGAATATATACTTAAAAAACAGATTACTCTTAACACTACACCAAATCTAAAATCAAGCCACTAACTTCCAAATACACATGACACAGGTAATTGATTTAATTGACCCAGCTGAGCTGAGTACAAATGTACTGTAGTCTTGACACTAATTGACAATAATGCTAACCAGGTATTAAAGAGGTAGATGACAGCAGATAAAATCCGAAGCACCATAACTGATACCAAATTACACCCAAGGCAATGAAGTGAGTCTTCATACTGAAAGTCGAAACCTTGCCTGGGTATTTTCACACGTTTTTACAACACACTCTCCACCCAAACTTTTTGGGCACTAGTAACATGCAATGTACGTGCGCTCCAAACTTATACACCTCGGTCTTTGGTTTTCTACTGTTTTTTTCTTTTATGTTAAAGGCTGCACAGCTGGGTCTTCATTCTTTGCTTTAAAATAAATTAGTTTTATCCTTTACTTGTCCGATGAGTCTTGATTCAAAGCCACTCCTCGGTCTCTCCTCCGTTTACGATTTTCGTCCCTACACCTTGGATTGTTACCACTGCAGGCAGTCTGTGAACGCTTGTTAAGTTAGTTATCTTCTCTCTATCATATACCCTGCAGTAATTCATCATTTTACTCGGTTTAATATAAAAGAAAACACAGAAATAAAATACTAAATTGTAAGTGTAGACATGATCATGCGCAGCAGACGATTCCGGTCTCCCTCCAGTATGGCTGCCGTTTGTTTTGATGACGAGGGCTACAATGGGTTAATAGGTACCCCATGGCAGCACATTGACATCAGCTCCAGTATCCAACTTAAATGTCACTGGCTTCTTGTTAATATACAGAGTCTCAGAATACTGCGTAGAACAATTGCTGTTTGTGAGACTACCAACGAACAGCCTCTCACCTTCATCACTGCCAACATCCTCCGTGTCTAGCTGGTGTATCTTCTTTGATGATAATGATTTCTTTCTGAAGCCTCCACCCAGCACCCTGAGCTTCAGAGCTAACTTGACACTAACCTTTTCACTGTAGCCTATCTCCATCGTGTCAAGTAACCTCTGACCAGATTCGAATGCCCCCGCCGCCCGCCAATCAAATTTAAAGCCCGCACTCAATGACTCATTGAACGAT